AGCAGGGTAGATACACCAAGTATCCACTTGGTGGAGGCTAGAGATCCTGCTAAACATAAATACAGGAAAGTAACGCCCCTCCCACCCCCAAATTGTTACCCAGCTCAAAAGGTCGCTAACGCCAAGTTTTAGAAGCCATGCATTAGAAGCATGCTAAAGAATTATATCTCCAATTTAAAACTATTAAGGCCTTTTCAAAGTTAGAAATTAAGAAATTAATGACAATGGGTTTGTCTTACAGTTCTCTTCGGCATCAAAACATTTCAATAGGACTGACACTTAGGGATGTAATCATAATTCTTTTTTTTTTCCTTTTAAAAAATTATTATATTGAGGGCTCGTACATTTCTTATCACAGTCCATATATACATCCATTGAGTCAAGCACCTATGTACACCTGTTGCCCTCATCAATCTCAAAACATTTGCCCTCTGCTTTAGCCCTCAATATCGTTTGCTCGTTTTCCCCCTCAGTCCCTCCTTCCCCCTCCCTCCTGAACCCTCCATAATTCATAAATTATTATGGATTTGTTATATTCATAATTCTTATATTGCAGATTATGGGAAACAGAAAAGCTATTCCGCACGATGTCCCTCATAATATATGCCAAACCTAAGGTGCTGTTTGCAAACACATGTTCACTGACTATACACTTGGAGGCCAACTGCAGTACTCAACCTATGGGTCGTGACCCCTTTGTGGGGGTTGAATGGCCCTTTCACGGGTTGCCTGAGACCATTGGAAAACACATTAGGACAGTTATGAAGTAGCAAGGAGATAATTTTATGGTAGGCTAGGAGGTCACCACAACATGAGGAATTGCCTGAAGGTTGTCAGCCATGTAAGGCAATCAGGGTCTATTGTCTGTCCCACCCTAAGTAGGGCTCACTCCCTTCTGATAACCTTCTGATGGTTCCCTTAAAGGAGAGCCCAAAGACACCTAAGGTCAAGACAACTCAGAGATGATGGTTAGGCTGCCATCTTGGCTCTATAGCCCGTCTATCCTGTCACGTGCATGCTTATTGTACAACCCCTTCCTGTTACACATAGGGTTACCTGTAATAGGGGGACTGGCATGTCCCTAGCGTAGCGTGTATGTAACCCTTGGTTTGAAATATATTCGCTCTCTACTCAGATCTGGCTCCTGAAGTCATGATGGTCCCAGAGCTGAGCACGCTCCTGCTTTGTCTGGTGTCTCTAATTTTTACCCCTCAATTACAAAAGTATCCATTGAAGCCATTGAATTGTGGAAGCTGGTACCCCACAGCTGATCCAGATGGTTGAATAGTAAAAATTTGGAAATATTGGTGTCGTATTTATGTAAGGTACCGTAAGGGAGCATTGCTTAAGAGCTTAGCTACTAACCAAAAAGCTGTTTGTTCCAACCTATCCAGCTCCTCCATGAGAGAGAGAACTGATGATCTCTTCCTGTGAAGCTGTTAGATCTCTCTGGAGCTAGATTTATACCTCGGTCCTTGGCTCCGCGCGAGAAAGAATTCACGCCGAAGCCTGGTTCGTGATCGAAGTGAGTTTTATGAAAGTTAGAAGAAGTTTCAGGTTTACACGGCACCCAAGGGGCTCCTCCCGGACATGCGGCCTAGCTGGAAGCGGCTCTGCGTCCCGCAAAGCGTGCCAAAGCTCTCTGCGCCTGAGTTCTCTCTCTTCCGTCTAGGTTCTTCTCCCGTCTTGGTTCTTGTTCTCTTCCCCTCCGGGCTTCTGCCTTTTCAAGGATTCCACAGGGAGGCGTGGTGGAAGACCCCTGGTCGACCCCATTGGCTGAATTGCATTTACCTGGCTAGGTGATCCAATTCAAGTTCACGCCCACCCCTGCCTACCAGCGGGAACCCTGAACATGTGCGGTGCGCACTCCTTTGTTTCCCTAGCTTGACCCTCTGGGCACGCGTTAACGGACAAACCCCAGTCCTATGCTGGCCTACCTAACAAAGCCTGGCCCACGACACCTTGTGGAGCCTCTACTCATGCCATGAGATGGAATCGATTCTTTGGCGCTGAGAACAACAGCCCCTTTTTATAGAACTTTTCCACATGTATTTTTGTACAAGCCCCTTATTACATGTTGATTGGCTAATGTAATATTTAATGGAACATATAATGGCAATACCTAGGTCAGTAGGTAGAAATAGGTCTGAGCACAGTTGACCCTGGTTTTGATCATCACACTATTGTTTCCATTAGTTTGGATCTCTTACAAGTTGATCCATTCTTGTTAGTGGGTTTTGTTTTGCTTTGTTTTAGCATTTGAGAAAGTGCTGCTTCCCCCAAAATTAAACCCACTGCCCATGGAGTCAATTCCAACTTAAAATGATCCTATATATGGTTTCTGAGAGTATAAATCTTTACTGAGGCAGACAGCCTCATTTGCAGATGAATGGTGGGTTTGAACAGCCATCCTTTGTGGTTAGAGCTCTAGCAACTAACCCTCAGGACCATCTTCAAGTATAAGTTATGTAATCTTTCATTATATCAACTATATTGATAGACATTAATTCACACAAACCTGGTCCCTGAAAGCTTGATTCAATTGGGATAGAACTTGGGTTTGAGTTAGGCAAAAACTTGGAAGGAATTCTGATAAATACTTCTGGTTGAAGACCACTTAAGGGGGAAAATAAACAGTTGTCGACCTGGTGACCCCTGTGTGTAGAGTAGAAGTCTCAGGGATATTAGTGCTGTGACCTTTTGGAAGAAGCAAGATCTTCAGGCCTTTCAGGCACTTTGGGTGGGTTTAAACCATCCAGTTTTATTAAAATTTTAGTTTTGGAAGTGTAAGTATGTAGTATACTCAATCCTGAATTGGATCCTTTTTGCAGTAAGGGTTGAGAAT